TCAGGAAAAACCAGTGAGTTTGCAATGTGAACAGCACCAGGGAAAGTGGGAATTCTCCTCCTTTGTCTGCACTGAGCCTGTTTCCCCGTTTTCCATAGGCTGTCCCGTAAGATGGACTCTGTACGAGGGAAAGTGCTACCACTTTTCTACTCTGGAAAAAACGTGGGATGAGAGCCAGAAGGAATGTGCCCAGTCAGATTCTCATCTTGCCATTATCAACAACAAAGCAGAACTGGTGAGAAAATAGAGTGGATAGTAAACCAGCAAGAATTTTGCAAGTATTTTGGGGCAAACATAAAACTCATTACAGTTCCAGAAAATAAGGTGTAACTGTTTCCCCCCACAAAACAATTTACCTTTAAATGGAAGGGCCTATCTGCAGCATACCTTTTTAAGCCACTCCTGTCCTTTGCTCATGCCAGCTTGACCCTAAGTCAGTTTAAGAAATCCTGTCCAGACAGAGTTACTTTGGCAACAGCTAGCAAAGTTGCAGGCTACCCTGCCCCACCTATGGGACAATTCCCTGCTGCTGTGGCCTTACTAAGTAATTTAAAACTCTGTGTGTGTGTGTGTGTGTGTACATACATACATACATACATACGTATGTATGTGTGTGTGTATATATATATATATACATACATACATACATACATACATACATACATACATACAAAATTAAAGTATCAAAATACTCATAATATATGTACAACAACCAGCTAGAAAATAAAATTCCATTTCTTGTCATCCTATTGGTTTCTAATATTTTCTATAGCTACCTTTAACAATAATCCTGCTATGGCATTTAAGCATAACATTTCACTAGTATATAGAATATTGTAGGTTTGAAAACTACCTGAAGTATTTAAAAATATTCTTTCTTTCTCTGGGGTACCTACTTTTCCACTGTTTTTCAATAATTCCAGCAGTGTATTGTTTCCTAATTTTTACAAACACTTCTCTACCTCAGGTGACTGGAGCAACAATGAGACAGTGCACCACTGGACTTATTTTAAAGGAAAAAAAGCCCTGTGGAAAGAAAGTAACTCAGGAAAAGAAAAATAGTAATTGAAAAACACACATACATATTTTGGGTAGGTTTTGAACCAGCAACATTCTATACATTGAGCAATTGTATAATTACCCCAACTATTGCAGAACTATGTTTAAAGGCTGTTCTAGGAGATCTTAGAGACCATGGCAACCATTCCCTCAGTTGAGAGGGTGTTTTTGCCTCTGCAAAGTAGCAACTCAAATTGCAGAGTTTGGGCCTAGAAGAAAGTAACAAGCAAAGTCTTTTTGGGTGGGGTAATTTTTTTTAAAATTACTATTCCTCTTTCCCTGAGTTGAGGAAAAGTAGAGGTATATATGGCTTTTCTTAGCCTATCTGCTAATGTCTTTTCTGTTAGGCATATCTTCTGACAGATTTATCTGTAATTGTTTCATTTCCTGCTACATGTCAAACAGCTCACTATAAGATTCTACAAAACTTCACCCATTTCTCATGCACATCTAATGGCAATTTAGGATGAAACAATACTTGCATGTAACATCTGGAGTGTTTAGATGTTGGCTTCTCTTGATGATTCTGATGTGGGAAGACTCCAAAATGAAATCTCACGATCTGCCAGTTATCCAATACCCAACGTACCCCTAGCGAATCTCTTTAAAATCTAATCAAATCTGAAATACCATTGCAGATTAGAGATTCAAAATCAAATACCAATATAAATTATGTTGAACCCTCCAGGCAAAGATAACCAGTGTTAAAACATTCTAAAAGTAGAACAGGACAAATTTGGAAGCCAGTTCTCTTCAGCTACTGTGGGGAAATGACTTCTACAGACACTGTGTATGGGAAAGAGCTTGAAATCAAAATGATTCCAATCCCCTTTGTCATAGACCTGTCTTGATTCTTTTAATGCAAGTTTGTATTCATTTCCTTTCCTTAAAGAATATGCATTTGATTGGCCCAATTCCAGAGAGCTTAGAACTGATGTTGTAGTGAAGCCAACGAGGAATCGCATGGCATTTATTTGCGATAGAAGCCTTTGTAATGGATAAGGTATCATTTTTGTTGACGTGTGATGCATGACGAATGTGATTTGTACACAACTGGTACAAATAATGTAGGTTTACCCAGGGCCTGTCCTTTTCCTTTATCCTAAGGATACCTGAAAAAACAGACCCCTGCCTCAGCATTGCAGGTCCATAATAAAGAACTGTGACGTCACTGCTTTTTGTAACCTTTTGTTCCTGTTCATCCTACCCAGTCATTCCTGAACAGCAGAACACGAAATGCAGATTACTTCATTGGCCTGAGTCGGAGAAATTCCGATGGACAGTGGAGATGGATTGATAACACAAGGTTTGACTTTGGCATGTAAGTTTATTAGGCTTCTGATCATGATCGTTTACGTAGAGTAGGAGTGGGCCACCCACGGACAGGTGGCTGCATCTGGCAGCAAATGTGGGTGTTTAGCTGTGCATTGGCTTCACAGAAAACATTTAAAATCTGAAATTCCGGACCCTGACCCTGCACACGCCTGCATCCATGAACCTTTCCACCGCAACATTGGCCTTTGAAGAAGTACTCAAAGAAATGAGGCTGCCTCTTTCCCTCAAAGAAGTCTGCTCCTAGCAAAGGATGAAGGGGAGGTGACAGACCACTACAGGCTAGTTCTCCCTGCATCAATCTGTGGATTGTAATATTGATCCACTTTGGATTGTTGTGGCAAAAAGTATTACTGTATATACTCACAGATAAGCCCATAGGACAGGAAGGCCTGGCGCAATATGGTTCATGGGGTCACGAAGAGTCGGACACGACTTAACGACTAAACAACAACAACAACAAGCCCATCTCCGGATAAGCCAACTCTTGAATTTTAAACCAAAATATCGTGAGAAATGTGCCACTCACACATAAAATCCTCTTTTTCATGGTATTTATCTTAGAAATTCAAAGGTCAGTCTATCTGCAGTTGAGCTTATCTGCGAGTATATATGGGTATATATAGTATAAAAAATATTACTGTATATACTCACAGATAAGCCCATCTGTGGATAAGCCAAAGCAACTCTTTGGGTGCAGTTGGGCAGCTAAAATTCTTGGCTTATCCGCGAATATATATAGCACCGTAAAACTGAAAAAAAAGGGCAGGGCACTTCTGGCTCCACCTAGTAGATATGCCATCCAGCTATAATTAACTAGCTTTTTACTCAAAGCAGCAGGGAGTGCTTTGTCAGAAGCTTTGCTCAAATCAACGTTCTCAAAAATCTGCTAAGGAAGTTACCTGACCCAAACATTAAATAAGATTTAGTCTGACAAATCTATGCTGTTAGCTCGTCAAGGTAGTCCAGACAAGAAGCACAACAATCAATCCTATCTCTTTCCTTATTGTAGAGGTACATAAAAACAGAATCTTGCAAGACTGAAAGTATTTCTCCCCTCCTCTCCTTTCTCTCTCCAGAAAACTAGGGAGGGCCCCTTCTGAAACGCTTCCCATGCCCTCCCTGCTTCTGTGGGCTGAAATATCTTTTGCATGCTGCTTGCCCCAGTCTGTGGCTGTCCCTCAACTTTCTCTTCAGTATTATCCTGGGAATCCATCTCAAACTATGCTGTGTGGTTCACAATGGATCTGTACAATATCTGTACAACTAATCTCCCACTTTCCTCCCCACACACTCCATTAGCAGTCTATGGTATCATCACTGGTGTTAGTGACAGATGTTCAGGTATGAGAAAGTAGTGCGATCATTCCATCATTCCATGGGATGTGCAGGTCTACTGGAAAATCAAGCGGGGTGGAGAGGTAATCCACACAAAAGCAATCATAGGCTAAAAAAAGAGTGCAGGTTCCCTAGATCTGACATGGCATAGGGCAAATATTCAGTCATTAAGTTCGCCTGGCATTGTGAGGTGGATTCCATATACCATTCTGATAGTCCTTCAGATATCCCTTCCTGCAGCTGCTGAGTACCAGGACCTGGATAGCTCCTGAAACGAATGTCCAGAATATATAAAGTGCAAAGGTCTGTGAGTTCAATTCCCACTAGAGGGTTTGAACCCCCTAGAATAAGCTCTGGCTACCTGTGTCTGAAAAATCCCAGTCCAGATAAAACCAGTCGCCTAGCATCTGCCTCCTGGTGGGCTGTGCACCCTGAATGGAGTGGCCTGAAAAACATATCCTCTGCCTCTAAGAACAGGCCAGGCCAGCAAGCATATTCACAAAACCTAGTTATCTTGATGGATTATACCTGTCTTTTTATTGCCTATATTTCAAATTTCTGTGACAAAGAATGTCTATGAAATTTTGCCATATATACATATTTTATTCTCTTTCTGCAGCTCCCATACAAAAATGAAATTTCTATTCTACAACTGACACACAATCTCTTGTAAATGAAGTTTTTTTTTCACTTTCCCTACACAGATTTAATATTCAAGGTAAAACAAAAGACTGTGCTGCAATTGGATTAAATTCCGTTGTCTCAAAATCTTGCTCTGAATTAAACCGCTGGATTTGTGAGGAGAACCTGTAAGAACTCGCTTGGACAATGGACATTCTGAGCAATGTAGAATCTGAATTCTATCCTCAGCTCAGAAACTTTGGCCCTGATAAGAAAGTGAAACTAATCAATTAAAAATGGGGAGAAACCCTTTCCAACCTACTTCAGGTTACGCAGAGTCCTACCTCTAGTTCCAACTCTCCTTGAATGACTATATCAACCTGTACCATATTGCTGCTTTAAAAATAAAGGTTTTCAGCAGGCACTGCGGCTGTTATTTCAAATCAGCAAATAAATGCCCTTGGCTATCAGACGTTGGGAAACTGAACTACTCTGGTTATACTTACAGCGGAAGATGTAGACACATTCATTTCAAGTCCTTTCCATGCAAAAGCATTCCCCTGTCTTCTGTAGGAGCTTAAAAATGTAATGCTTTGGAGGCAATTTGTTTGCAGGGTCTGTCAGCATCCTGAGCTGGATGCTGTGTTGTTTTATCTGGACCAGTGGGGTGCAGGTAGATGGTGGAAAATTAGGTGTCAGAACCTGCATCACCCAACTGTTGTTGTTTTCCATTGTATTGCATTCGTTGGGAGTTGGAGTGATTTGTTTCTGCCACTTGTAACTGGGGTGGGGGGTTTGCTGTTAATGGTTGTAATGGGAGCTGGGAAGCAGCTTAACCATATATGAGCAATTTTGATTGGCTTGATTGCCGGCAAGGCAGCTGGGGCCCAAAGAGCCAGGAAGGAGCTCTGGTAGGAGGGGGAGGAAGGAAAGAGGTCACCACCAGGTGGAGAAGAAGGGAGACGCCAGGCAGTAA